ACGCAAATTGGACCTAATACTGATAAAAGTATTAGATATAAAAGAAAGTAAAAAGGACAGAAATGTATGTATGCTATTTATATAAAATTATATTGCTCCGAGATAACTTCGTCGAGAAGGAAAACTCGATACTCTACATCGTTGAAGCTGTGAGACCAGTTGACTAGCGCGAAGCAATTTCGGTAGTAAATCCATGTTGCCGAGAGACAACTCCATTCGAGGAATAAGGATATTACTTCAAAGCACAAGCTCATCCCGCGTCTTTCATCACACCGTGAGAAATCCCCTGCCCAATCAGAACAAACCCCGTGTAAACGTTCCGAACTCGACGGCGGAAGTAAATGCTGAATCCGCACGGAGGTGTCAGGTAATAGTCGACTCGTATCTTCGTCCTCGCAAAGGGAGGACGTGTGTGTGTATGTATGTGTGTGCAGAGGTGGCACTGAGTATTTTCTCTCCTTCGCTGCCCTGTCCCTTCACTACCCCTTCCCCTCCTACGTAACACACCACCTTCAAACCGCCTTTCTCGCGCACACACGCCGCCTTTCTTTCTCTCCATCTCTGTCAACTTTCCTCTTTTTATCCTTATTCCTCTCGTTCCTTTTTTTCTTCTTTCTCTCTTTCTTTTTTGGTGCTTGCACAGAGGAGATGCCTTTCCAACGGAACGAAGTTTTCCGGGGAAGTAAAGTCATTTCGCTCGTGCAATCTAAGTTAAGTGACTTTCGAGAGCCCTGGCGACGAAACTTACCCCACCGCTTACCTCCTCTCAGAAGCAACCCTTTCACTTTCCCATCGTCCTCCCGCTTTCCACCCCCCACGGCGGAATCCGAAATGTGACGAAGATTACCCTGTATCTAGAGATTCGCGGTCGCTCGGGGCACTTGAAAAATAGACTCGTTTAAGGAATGGAGCCACCGTCCTTTTTGCTAAATTTGCATCATACTCGATGTTACGTAAACTATAAGATGGAACAATTAACTTTAATCAATTACGACTGTTTCGCTTTTGTAAGCGATAGTATAAGAATTATTTGAATTAGTAATAGATGTGTGTAAAATAAAAGATTTAATTATATAATATTTCGTCAAAGATGGATCGAAGTTATATATGTCAAATTAATCCGTTCTATCGGTATTATGAAATTTAAATTCACCGTAAATATTTCCCATCCATTTGTCGCATTTTGATAATTAAACCACTTCTCATATTCTTACTTTTAGAGGAGAAATGCGCAATCACTTATCATTAAGTAAATTGCACTGGATATGTATAAAAAATCCCGTAGTTTTTAAAAGATGAGAAAGAGGAATAACATTATTATACAAATTTTTCTGAAAGAATAATCCGAGGGGATAACCACTTAATGTAATCGTGGGACAGAGTCCTCGAAATCATTATAAAATTCATATTAAATTTCTATGTATAATCCAATAATTACGTATGCAACCACGATAAATCATTGTATAATATTAAATAAATTCATATATTTTACCAAACGACTTCGTATGTAGCGAAAAAAATTATTTGTAATCAGATGAAATCATATGATGTCATGTGTAATCTGTGGGACAGTATTTCAGCTAGTGGTTACCCCCTCGGAATAATCACTTTCGCTCTAAGAGACACATCAGTAAAATTAATAGAAGATAAATTTAAATCATTCCCGTAGTCTCAAATTTCATATAAATTACTATATTCAACTCGTCTCTAATCTTAATAACTCTTACCCTCTTATCCGTACTATCTCTTCTTAGTTGATCTTAGAGATGTGCTTACACCGCTCGTGTAATTCTGGCGAAATTTATATATTTCGAAGATAGATCAAAGTTACTAGGAGAAGCTGAATTAATCTGATCTATCGATATATATGTACATATTACGAGATTTGAATTCATCACATTTCCTATCTATTTACCGCATTTCGATAATCACACCATTTCCTATCTACTCTTCCTCGTGGAGAATATACAATTATTTATCACTAAATGGACTGCGCCAGATACTAACTAAATTTTTAAAAAATGCGATAAACCTTTCCGACCCGCGCTCTCAGTTCGCGAGCGAATTCACTTCTATGTGTATCCTTTTCCCTCTTTTTTTGCATACTCGCCGGTGCGCCATATTTCGCGATTAACGTGAAATGTACGAAAGTGCCGTAGCGCAATCTATACCGCTGCAATACACGAATCCAGCGGAACGTGTCGGATCGCTCTGCCATTCGGAGTGTCGCGACCACCGGGATTGCCTCGATTTTCGAAGAGTCACGAGCCGCGCCGGCCGCTCGTAAATATGGCGATTTTACTTTTTTTTTTCTCCAACCCTCCACCAATCCGTCCAGCTCCACCAATCCGACCATCCTCATTGCGCCTCCGTGCAATCGACCAACGTCGAGTGGAGAACGCCTGGTCCACGATGGTGCGGTGCCGTCGTGTGCACGGATATGAATCACGGGACCGTAAAGTGATATCGGATGGAACGGAGACTTTCTCTCCTAGGTATGCGTGAGCATGAACCTAACCTCGGGGCCCGGTATATAGTCGGCGACCATTAAAACGAGTAGCTCGTGCCGCAAATTGCTGAAATGACACTCTTGCCATAATCGGTCTCGACGCTTAATTCACTCTTTCGCCGGCCGTTTTACGATTTCGCCTTCGCTTGCGATGCCACAAAGTGTGCAACCACCCCTTCCCTTTCTCGTCGATACATATCCGTACATGACCCCAAGTTTTTTCTGCCCGCATTTGTTAAAACCCCGGACGAGTCTCGTGAAAAAGTTTTTCCCTCGCGACGCGTTACAATCGCGTTAATTGCGCACTGGGGATGCAGAACGATGCAAACGTTAAAGAGACAGAATTAGATAAGGTACAAGGGATAACACAATCACTTGGCTTGCAATTATAAACATGAAAGCGGGAAGAGAATATTCCGATGCTAATTAACATTATTATGCTTACGTTACGCATATACATATGCATCTTTATTTGCTCCAAGATAAAAGGAGGAGATACAGCCTCATTTATTCTAATTAATTAAGGTTTTCAAAAAAAATTATCAATTTTTGTATAATGAAAATGTGAAGATCTAATATTCTACATATATTTTTAGAACTTTATTTTTATAATTAATAATCGATAAAATCGTTATGACATGTAAGAAACTCTTTGTTCTCAATAAGTCAGAATAATGTTATGTGATAAACTTCCCAAAAACATAAAAATAAAAGAAAAATGTAAGAACAAAAATATACAAATAACGGAACAATGCAACAAAAATAATATTAATACAAATAGAATATGTGAAACTAAATTATATAAAAATCAAGAAACATGTGACAAAGTAAGCGATAGATGAGAATGAAAAGCCGCAAATTACGAGGATTAAAATTAAAATTAAGAAAAGAAAAAGAGAAAAAAGAAACAACAAAGAGAGGTTAAAATTAAAATTAAAGTTAACTTATCTCAGGAAGAGAAAGAGAAAGAGAAAGAGAGAAGGAGAGGAATTTAAAAAATGAGATGCTAATTATGCAGAGATTTATATTATTCTTAATCTTCCGCTGGCAACATGAATTTTAACTATTCCGTCAGCAATAGAAATCTTCGAAAAAATAGCGAATTTTTTATTGTTCCGGATTATATAAAAAGTCTAAAAAAATTTTGGTACATTTGTCAAAGCTTTAACAACGAGTTTCTCTATCACAGTATTATAAAAATCGGATTGTATTTTACTTATTTTTTACAGTTTTAAATTTATCTACCAAAATTCACAATTAAAATGTCAGTGATACCTTTAAAGACCTCAATTGCTGGCGGAAGATTAATATCTCGCATATATTAGTTTCGCGAGAAACGTCTAATTTTTTATCATTAAAGCTAATCCTCTTAACAACCTTCTCGCTACGTCACTTTTTATCTCCATTTTTTTATTCATATTATATATTTGTAATGATTTTTATTGTTGGTTACGACTTCACGCACAAAATCTATGACAACATAATAATCGTTTGGTTTTGCAGATTTTCTCTGATGTCAATTTTTTTTCACGCGGTCGCCAGCTTTCGTTTATTTTCAGAAAATACCGCATCCGACACGACGACAATTGTAATGGGACTTGTTAACGAGCTGCGGGAGAGGAAATTTTCATGTTTACCGCCACGCGAAAATGTACGCGAGAGTTTAGATTGAATGGAAAAAGTGTAAAACAGGGCAGAGGATGGGAGAGCGTTTTAACGCTTTTGCAACTAACGCTTGCGCGGAGTTGGGATGACATGATGTCATGAGAAAAAGATTGCTCGCAAGAAGAGAATAGATTGTTCTATTAATAAATCAGATAAAATTAAAGTCTGTAGTAGATGTCGGATATGTCAGTTTCAATGTCAAAGTGTGAACTTCCTCGTAATCAATTTTAAATCATTTCTGTTATAATACATGTAAATTTAAATAGCAAAGATTGGTTTTTTTAATTATTTAATCATTTAAATAATTTTTATCAATTAATTAAATCGCAATTAAAAGTATAAACTAAATGACCCATCAGTGGATTTTGCATGTAATATGATATTCGAATATAAAATGCATAAAATTTTTTATTACATTTAAAGTTTCAAGACATATTTAAAAAATTAAACAGACTACTAAATTTATGTTTAGGAAATTTGTATTGAAAAAATTCACGTTATTTTACGAACGCAATTAAATATAGGTACCAGTACGAATCAAATACGCAAATAAAATATAATCAGGTATACAAACATTTTTTTCATACGTGCATTCAAATACATTTTATACAGATTTATATTTTTAATAAATTCTAAATAAATAAAAAAAAAGAATAAATTTTGAATAAATAATAAAGAGAATAAAATTAATTCTTTCCAACACAACACATATTTAATTCTGATAACTATTACACAACACATATTTCATTCTGATAACTATTAATTTAATTTTCCCTATCTATGTTACATGTCTTTTATGTCAACATCGAGTAGCAGTCCTACATACCTAAAAGCTTCATGACCTGAGAATGGCTGATGAATATATTAAAATAGCCATCGCTGCAGCCGATCAGAACAAGCAGGACAAAAATCTTGCACCGCAGGAGATCGCAAGGACCACCACACCACCGCATTGTCTTACATGCTCCGTACGTGCCACGCACCTGCCTAATCAGTTAGTTTTAACTTCAACACCGCGTCATCAAAAATTGCAGGGAAATCCTATCCATCCCTTTGGCATCAACTGCTCGCACGTGGTTCCATTCACGGACGTGCCCTGCCATTTCTCGCGCTACCCCTCAAGATATACAAGAGTCTCTCGATTACTGCGCTCGCAAAGATTTAACGGGCTTCGCGATCATTAAAAAAAATCATTGTAGAAAAACATTTCGTCCATCCCGGTGTACGAGAAAGCAAATTTTAACCAATGTCAGCGTTTTCAGTATCTTCTTCGCGCGCGTGCTGTCATAAGTCGTTTCATGATCGAGCGCGTTCTCGAACGGCGAGACGATCACATGGCACTGCGATGCGCGATGACGAGACTAGGGTGGGTGTCCTGGCGCAAGGGAGGAGACGACGTCGTCGACGACGACGTCGGTACTCGACTGAACGCCGAGCGACTGAACGTCCGTCGTTTTCGACGACGAGTCCGGTCGCGCTTGCGCCTATGTGGCAGTCACCTATATCACAACGGAACACATATTATCCACGTACGTGTGACGGATTGCTAGAAAAACAGTGCGTACGTGCGTGCGTACGCATCGTGAATCCCGGTGTAAGGTGTAAGTCCCCGAAAATAGACAGCCGGATAAACATCGCGGAAATGACAGGGGCAGTCCGGGCTACGAAAATATAGCGAGGGAATATGCATTGCATAAAAAACTACTTGTGCTCTTTTCCCAACGATTTATTCGGTTTTGCACTACTACCGGAATATTGCGTCTGAATGAAAAATCGCGCAAAGGTGAGCCATACTCGATTCGGATATCGAGAGGATACTCGAACAATCATTGAACATATCCGCGCAATCGTCAATAACGTTTGAGACCAAAAGCAATGCTGCAGTAATCACTAGATATAACTTCTGCAAACGGTGTTATACCGTAATTAGTAAATATTTGCGGTCATTGAGTCCTCGTTGTTGGAAATAGGCCAAAGGTGATATCTCCATGGAAACGCTTCGACTAAGGATTTTGCACATTTTGCAATATGCTCATCTTTGTCATACTCTTGTCATCAGTGAATTTTTGGGGATATAACACGTGACAGAGAATGAACAATAAATCTTTTATGCAAACACCGGCCATTTTAAATATGCATAATATTTTAATACTTTTGCGCGAATAACAGAATAGATGCTTTATTTTATAACTATCACAAAACGTCCGTCCGTTTGAAATAAATTTATTTTTAAATAATTTATTTAGTAAATAATTGATAAATTATTTGGATTGTGGATAACTGATTATTTAAATTCATATTTAATTTTGTTATAAATATTACTGAAAATCACCAATTTTTTATGACAACAAATATTACGTCAAGGTATAAAAATCAAATATTAAATACAAGGGAGAATTTCAGTTTTAAACTGATACAATGTACGTGTTTGTGAAGACATGATTTATTCACGAGAATTGTATAATGCGAACAAGTAAAAATCAACGATCCATTTTATATTAATGCCTGGCGCGTAAACGTAGAAAAATCGGGAATAGAGTTTCTTCGTAGAACGAGCAAACATTTTCACGACGTGTTCCGCAACGTGAAACGAATCGGATTTACGATATAATTTCGAAATAATACTAGAAACCTTTGTCGCTCGCAATTCTATCGAACTCGTTATTGACGTGACGACAACAGAGTACCGATTAACGGCTGCACGACTCGACGCAACGACGAAATTGACGTTCGGCGTCCAATAACATCAAAAACTTTCAACCCACTTGGAGTCATGAAATTCCAACACGTAATGGCCCCCACCTTCCGCTCCAGCTCGTATTCTGTATCCCCAGGTCCTCGCCTCGTCAGAACGCAATATCGTCACTGATGAGCTTTAGCCCGACACACGAAAACGCGGAGGTAACGTAACGACGAAAGAAATAATTCCGAACGACCTCGCTCGTTCCGTCCGGATCACCGCCAATTCCTCTTGCAGTGATCCTATGAGAGGGAAAACGTCGGGAGGTATCGGCGCGCGATCGACGCCGCTCACTTGTGCGCGTTCTCCGAAAGCGTTAGAATTTAATTAAATCGGTCTCCGGCTACCCCTGTCGTGTCGCAGAGTCCACTTCCTTTCCACCCTCTGGCGAGTCCTGGACAGGTCGCAGCCTCGGATTCACAATTTGATCTTCGTAGAGTTTAACTTCCAGAGAACGGACCATTCTCTGTTCGTCCTTCCATCCTACCCTCCCGCGATGCTCGACAAAACGGCGCTTTAATTATACCGCGGGATTAATTAACTCTCCGTCGAACTCTCGGTGGAACACACCCGCGGGACTCGCCCGAGCCGATCGCAAATAATTAAAGACCGTTTTTCGTTCGATCCTTCGCTCTTTCCTTCGAGGAACCGCGTTTCCCTCGAGCTTACACGCAAACAGATGCTTCGCGAGTTTGCCAAGTGATCTAATATTGACGGCTCATCGATGCGTCGATATTGATGTTCAATGTATAAATGAAATATCTTTAACTACGATCATAAAGATGTTGCATATGAAATATCGCGTGAAATATCGTCAAACTGCACAAGATGATCAACGGAATGTATCGTAATTTATGAATTCTTGTTTTGTATTGAAGAAATACTACAAATCACAGGAAAAAAGTGTCTAAATTTCATATAATTGCATCCCTAACTGTATTCTATTCCTATATTTTTTCTTTTTTTTTTAGCAATGCATTAATAAAGTTTTACTAACGTATAACTTAAGAATATATTTTATTTGGTTTCATCCACGATATTTTTAAATATATGATATTCTTCCGTTTTAACCGCATATTATTTAGTATAATGTGACTCATCGTTGAAAAACGCATTCTACTTAATTAAAAAAATTATTTTATTGCAGAAAAATGTGAATCTCCAATTCCTGAGGATGCAGTTTGAGCTTCCGTGCGCAGAATCACGCAAGCGTACAGCGAATGTATGTGCACGTATATAAATTGGATGGCACACGAACTCAATCTACACATAGGAAAGTTACACGAATATACCTAAAGCTAAGAGTGGATCTATCCGAATCCATTAAATATTTGAGCGAACGAAAGAGGCTAGGGAAGCAAGCTCGTGGAGGAAGTCTCCCCTCGGCTCTTAAGACCCATATAGTAGCCCAACTCTCTCTGTATTAATATTTACATTTATATTTCTTCCTCGTCGTCCCTCTTATTTCAACTTAAGCCGCCGGGGATTTCAGCGTTCCAGACTGAATTATTATGATTTTCACAATTCAACACATTTTCGAGCAACTATATTTCGGATTGCACGCTTTCTAATAAGCGGTACATGTCTTTGTGTATTATATTGAGTATCATCTAGTATTATATACACATTACGCTGAACATTAATTCCAGCTTATAATTCCTAACAAATAAATTTTTAATTGTATTTTTAATAAATTTCTCTATCATTTTATTTCATGTTTCTGTCTTGTGATACCATGCATTAAAAATATTTACAAGTAATAAAATTACTTATAAACACAGATTTCTAAGTAATAAACTTCTGTTTAAATTATATATATAATTTTACAAATTTAATTTTGCCAATAGTTATTAACATATAGATTGGTCTATAATTACTAATATTATTGAATTAATAATATTATCTCAATCACTATATCAATAACTTTCGGAGAATCAAATAAACACTCCACCAAATTCTCGATTAAATCAAGATAAACTAAATATGTGTAACATCCGCAAATGTTTGATTACCGTGGTCGATCGACTACACATTGACAGTACTCTTATCTTTAATTAAAATGACCCAAGAGATACTTCTAATGGAAAAGGTTATTTTGTTATAAAATTAAAAAAACAATTAATGATTTATATTATTAATAAAACAAACATCTAAAATTGATACTTTTCATTCATTGATATTTTTAATTCCACTTTTTATTATTGTTATTTACTACGAATTATTTTATCATTTTACAAAATGTATAAGAAACCTTATTTTTTAATGTAGACTGCTTCATTTTAATATCAAATATGTAACTTGGCTAAATTTCAATATAAACTTTATAATAAATTAGACATTTTCAGTTTTTAATTTAATTCAAATTTTTATGCAATAAAAAGAAACAAATCCATAAAGGCTTTCCATTATTTGTGTCAATTCTCTTTTCTTTGCATATGTATTATTTTATTTTTATTTATCTATACAACTTATTACTTTTCGTATAATGTATTTTATAATTCAAAATGTAAGATAATATATATATTATATAATGAAGCTTATATATACATTCGATTTTATCAACAACAAATTACTCAAAAATATTCGAAATGTGTGTATAATAATGCAAAATTCTCGATTTTTATACCAGATATATGATATACTGTAACCGGTATGTTCATAAATAATAATTAATTATGCGGCAGGCAATTATTAATTATTCGTTTACAATTATGGAAGCTTATTAAGCGATAAATAACGCGAGCACGCAAACAAACTGCGGCCAAAAAAGTCACATTAATAAGTTTATTAATTTGTGTCTCTTTAATCACGAAAAATAGTATTGTGATTACTGACACATGTGTTATGGGCCTTATGATATCATAAAAAAACGACAGTCATCGTTATCATGAAGAGAATGATAATTAATTCAATGCTCAAAGCCCCCTTTCGTCGGATACGTAGCATATCCGTTATCTCTCTCACCTAAAGTTGAAAAAGAAATACACTCACCGACATGATGTTCCGCCGCAAACCTAATGTCTCCTAAGCTTCGTCCTCGTTTCAATGTTTTTTCATTGAACACTCACTTCAAAATAACACTCGCTAAAACGTAATCGAGCACGAATTTAATTATCCGTACATTTCATCGTAAAATGACTTTACTTAAAATGATTAATTTTATTGTATATTGAGAGTTTTATAATGGAAATATATTACAACTTGCATCTTAATTCTACAAATACATAACTTGATTAATATAATAATAAATTCTGCAATGTATATAACAAATTTTATTAATGCCAATTGTTTTTAATATTTTTATCTAGCGAAAATTTTAATTAAATGTACAATTGAAAAAGAGTTATTCAATTTAATATTTATTTGAATTAAATTGATTTTCGTTTTGATAAAGGATGTATTTATGTGTCAGTAATTTTGTCCTACATAGAAGCATAAAATAGCATAAAATTTGAAAAAAGGAAATAATAATTGAATAAAAACATTGAATTATTTAATTTTCATTTCTCTATTACAAAAAGAATCTAAACTTTATCCTTTAAATATAAAATTTGTTTTAAATAAAAATTTAATTAACAATAAAATTTAATAACTTTTACTAAAATAAAAGATTAAATAATTTGAGCAATTTATTTCACATTTTTATTTACAGAAATTTCTCTTTTGACTT